TATCCAAGATTCGTGGAGTTTTCGATAAAAAATATAACCCAAATTGGTCTTCTGAGATTTTCCGTATAAGAAAAGTTCAATTGACAAACCCAGTTACCTACTTATTGGATGATGATTCTAACAAGGATATTCTAGGGTGGTTCTATAACGAGCAATTGCAAAAAGTAAGATATCCAGACGTGTATCTCGTCGAAAGGGTATTGAAGAGGAAGAATGAACAGGTGTTCGTCAAATGGCTTGGTTTTGATAACAAACATAACAGCTGGATAGACGAAAATAATGTTGCGTGATGTTGCGCAAGGAAGACTATATAAAGGGCTCATCACGCTGATGATTTTCAACATTTTCTCGTTGACTGCCCTCTAACAAATGTAGTAGGTGCTCACTTCCGAAAAAATGTTCATAATTGATGTACAAGGTTTCCAGAATGGAAAAGACAAGTTTTTTGTAGAGAAATTGCGATTTTGAACGTGGACAATGGTGTGTGGCAACATAGATTCATTACTTCACCCATCGACATGTCACATCACAATTCAACTGTTCTCAAACATATGGAATGGTCCACTAAACACAATACAGTATGAACGAATAACTGAATTCATCAAGAAATGCACTGGCTGTAACGAAGGAGATGAAATTCTGGTGAAGGGGTTGGAAAAGAAGATATGGTTGGAGAGACTGCTAAGCATGAACAATATCATCGATTTACATGAACGAGGATGTCCTACAATTGTTGACTTGAAGTTATTTTTAAGATTGAATCATCACAACCAACATTTGATAATAATTCTAATTGTGTTTCAGAAGATGTATATTTATTATGATACTGGTAAAGTTTATCCAAAAACAATTGCAGATTCTCGTGCCGCACCTGCAGTCACTTCAAAGGAAACTTCATACACGCCGACGCCGCACAGTGCGAGATATTCTGCAATTGATATCGGATATACTTTACCTTCATTGTGAACAATGATGTGTTCACTTAGAATCTAATAAATGATGATATTCAAGATTTTCATAATTTCTATTCATATATTACTCAATATTTACAAAACTATCAAACAACGACAACTCATATATTAATCAGTATTCACAAAACTATTATACAACATAACGACAACGTCAACAATAAAAACAACAACAACAACAACCACAATGAAAAAGTATCTTTAATTTTGATTAACTATATCATGTATTTAAAAACAATGAGTAGAAACGAAAACTGAATAAATGACCTCACTACAGAAAAAATTTTGTTTCAACTCATAGTTGTCTGATATCTGATGTAGTTTCATCACACCTGGGGCATGAGAATGTTCCAAAATCAACAATTTCATTTAAGTTCCTACATCTTTCCTCTCCACTACTAGTAGCATACACCACTGTCATGTGTCCATTATCATTCCTCTCCATGCTGATGGTCCCAATTCCTTCTTCCTGTTGTTGTTGTTGTTGTTGTTGTCGTTCTTGTTGTCGACCACTACCCTGCAAGAAATCGTTATTCAGCCTGATTTTGCGTTTCACCTCCATAGGCAGCATCAGGGAATTCGTATACTTGCGAATCTTCCTCCTCGGGTAGTGGTGGTGGTGGTGTTTGTCTGGGAGTTGATGCCTGCCTGATCTTTTTTTGCGGTGGTGGTGATGGTGACGGCGCTGCATCGTCTTCGATGGCCGCCGCGAAGTTGAACCTCTTGACGGCCTTCTGCAAAAGCATAAGCTCTTGCTCCGACTCCGCAAGCGCCCTGGTCCACTTCATAGGCAGGTTCCCAATTTTTTTTGTAGAGTTATCATCTTCGGACTGTATTGAAGATATATCAAAATACAGTCCTCTGATTTTTTCAATATGGAAATATGATATGAAGAAAATGATATGACAATAATAATAATAATACTAAACTCACTTGAACAATTGTTCCATCACAACCATCGCCATGTCGATTGGAAACAATTTTTTGTTTTCAATGTTGACTATTAATGTTGTTGGGATGCCTGCCATATTGTTTCACGAAGAACTGCTTCTTGGTTGTGGTAGTGAAATCAGAGAACATGGTAGTATTTATACTCATTTTGAGCTCCCTAAATTGATATGGAACATTTTATAATCTCCAAGTTGATTCAAAGTATCAAATTTCAATCAATACACATGTGTGCATTTTTTCCAAAAAGTATGATATCGACTTGTTTTTCTCATCGTTGGTAACGAGACAAAATTCTCATCATCCACGTGTGCATTTTTTCCCAAAAAGTATGATATCGACTTGTTATACGGAATCCTTATCATCCTCGATAACTGTAGAATTTCAAAATGTTAACATGTTTTTTGTAAACACTCAAAGTCGAATAAAATTCCCCTCGTGCACATGTGCGCATTTTTTTCAGTTGCTATCGAAACAAAAATTCTTATCGTTGATAGCTCTAGAGGTCTTTCAAAGTGGTCAGCTGGGTAATGATACTTCATTGACGTCAGGCCGATGTTATATAAATTCTCCAACATTCGCATTTGTCTATTTTGTATTGCATCCAGCTCAAGTTGCTCCTGTTGAATTACCTCTGGTTCCTGTCAACGATCTCTGATTCCTGTCAACGATCTTCAGTTCAACGCATTCCACTATCACATATCGTCTATTGTCAGAGTGAGTGAAAATGAGCTCGATGGATCATTTAGTCAGTCAGTTTATCAGGAAAATTGATCAAATTTATCCTCTCATTAAAACGGAAGAAGAGTATTGTAAATGGATAAAATTCGTTCAAAGAACAATTCATTCAGTGAATAAATGCATAAGAAAAAAATCAAGATACGTGAAGAATTTTTCGGAATTAGAAACTGGTTTACCTATCTTAAAATACCATAAAGAAAAATCGATAACACTCAAAGATAAAACAGAACATCAAAAACGTTATTTAGTGTGGAAATATATTGATTTATGTCTCAATAAAAGAATTCGAACTGGTGCTATTATTAATGAAAGTACCAAAGATCCAAAAACTTTTCTGGAAAAATGTTTTCAATGCTTCTCACTCAAAATCGAGTCTGAATTACAGAAATCTCTTTTGAAAGTGAATGCTACATTTTTAGAAAATTTCGTTCAACCTAAAACTCTCGAAACTGATACTAAGCATCAATATAAAAAATAAGGACCCCTATTGCTTTTTGTGGTCTATTGTGTGTGCTCTACATCCAGCAGGCCCAGGAAAAAATATTAATATCCACATTTCAGTCAAGTTTTGAAATATGATGGTATAAAATTCCCCATTAACTTGAAAGACATAAAAAGTGGCTATGTGATCGATGTTTTAATCACTTTGAATACAAGGAGAACTTGGAGAAACATTATGCACAATGCAGGCAAATGAACCAATCGCAAATTCAGCTGCCTAAGCCACATGAGTCAACTCTAAAGTTCAAGAATTTCAAAAATACCGAAAAAGTACCTTTCCTTATATATGCTGATTTAGAGTGTTTATTGCAAAAGTATGTTGATCCAAAACCCAGTGGAACAACAAAAAAAATTCGAAAACATGTGCCTTTTACGATTGGCTATATGCTGGTTTGTTCCTATGATAATTCTCTTTCCAAATTCAGATATTATACTGGTGAAGATTGTATATCATGGTTCGTTAATGAATTGAAACAGTTAGCTATGCAAATCAATGATATATTTGCACATGTGAAACCTATGGAACCTCTTACTGCACAGCAACATGAGGATTTTCAGAAGGCTTCTCCATGTCTTATCTGTTTGAAACCATTCGTTGAAGGAGAACGGAAAATTAATGACAATCAGAATCCACATAGACGAATGCAATAATGTTGATTGTAACTGTTCAACAATTGAAAGAGTTAATTACATAAAATATCTTGGAGTGATGGTGGACCAACATCTCCGTTGGACTGAACATATAAAGTATACTGTTAAGAGACTGAGTAAATTGATATATAAATTTCATCAATCAAGAAATATTGCTAACGCAAAATTACTTTTTAAGATTCACGATGTCTTGGCCGAATCGGTGATAAGATATTGTATAATCATATGGGGTGGTACAGGCAAATCCTCAATGAACATCATTCAAGTTGTTCAAAATACATTGATAAAAATTCTCTTCAAGAAGAATCGGAGATACTCAACAAAAACGCTTTATGCAGAAACAAAATTATTCGAAGTAAGAAAACTATATGTATATCATAGTATAATATGGACACTAAATAATCCAATAAAATTGAACACACATGCATACAATACAAGAACAACTGCCAATCTTGCTATTCATATTCCACTATATTCTGAAGGCTATATACAGAAATTCATATCCTACTATGGACCAAAATTGGTGAATATGATACCAGTACAAATTAAAAATATAAAAAATAGATACAAATTCAAAAAAGAGATAAAACAATACATAGATATTGATTATGATTCATTTAAAGTACTTTTTGACTGAAGGTCCTTTCATCCTCAAACGACAATCATCCTCAAATGTCAATAATTCTTAAAAAATACTGAAAATTGTACTTCCTTCTTACTATAGTATAAGCAGATTGAACATGAAATATATCAAATCAATCACATCTCATAGACTGCGCACAGCACAAGCTAGGCTTAGGTGACAGTCTATGAAATATTTAAAAATATCACCATATTTATACTATTATTTTCATGTTTATATTATTACCTGAATGAAGATATCTATCTATCTATTCTATCTATGAATATATTTTGAGCAGCGAGCAGCGAGCAGCGAGCATGCTCTACTAAAATCAAACGAAATAGTAGTTAAAAATCAATGTGAAAATTCTGAATTTTCTTGAGTGGATGGTGAAATAGTGAATTAGACTGTGGTGAAGGTAAAAGTGAATATTGACGTAACGTTAACGAAATATTCAGCTCACCGAAAGCGAATCATAATCACTCGTCCTAGAACATAAGGTTCAATATAGCACAGCATAGCCCACAGTTGTGAGCCGAAACCGCCAACGGTAGAATAATATGCCAAGTATGGAAACGTCGTTATCCACTGAACAAGCCAAACTTTATGAACTTATACTCAAAGCGAATAAGGAACAGACACAGGAAATCAAGACAGAAATACAAGAAAACATTAAATCCTTAAATAGAAAGCTTGAAAAATCAATCGAAGAAGTTGAATACTGGAAAAGAAGAAGTATCAATTTGGAGCGAAAAATAAGAAGAAACAACGTAATAGTCTTTGGGTTGAAAAATGAAGATGAAGCTAGTATTGTGAATATCACAATTCAAAGACTCAACGAATTACTAGAAACCGATATTAGAGAAACTGATATAAATAATATATACACAATTGGAAAAACAGAAAATTCCCCAGTAGTGATTGAATTCATATCTTATTTGAGGAAAAATACACTTTTTGCGAATAAAGATAAACTGAAAACGCTTAAGGACAACAGAATATCAATAGCACACGACCTCTGTCAGGAAGATAGGGAGGAACAGAAAATATTATTGAAGCACCGCAAAATTGCATTAGACCAAAAAGAAGACGCGAAGATCGAAGGAAGAACATTATACGTGAACAACAAACCTTACACTACAGAAGAATTGAGAAAGATCGATTTAGAAAACGCATGTGAAGAAAGCAGCACAGAAACCGAAGAAGAAGAGGAAGGTGAAATACAGCCATCACAAGAGCGAACATTACGGAATCATAAGAATATCACAGAGAAGGTCCAAAAAGTTCAACCTGTGGCGGCCGCGTCCCACGCCCAGCAAGCGCAAAAAAGGAAGACAGGAAAAACCTATAAGTATAGCCCCAAACACGATAGTAAGACTAGAAAACACTAGAATTTTTAGGTATCTCGCTCAATAATCTTTTTGTCAAACATTCTTTAAATCACAAATATTGTATAGTTATCATTATATAGATACAAGAATAAAAAAAAAAAAAGATGAATGATTATATCAGGGACTTTGATGATTTCTAAAAAATTGGTCAGAGCCTTTATAATCATTTACCTCTTGATTTAAAAAATAGGGTTGAATCCAAAAATATCAAAAATATATTAGATCGTTGGTTATTAACTACAGCAGTGACGCTACTATAATGATGATATTGTTCAAACCTCTGGACCGTCATTATTATTATTAGTATTCTTCTCATCATCATTTTTATTATCGTTCCTGTTATTGCTCTTATTATTATTTTTATTTTTGTTCTTATCATTTCATTATGATACTGTAGATAAATTATATCCCTCCATTCAATCAATAAGAATATTATCCACCTAGTTTGTTTCAACAATGATTATATATTATCGAATACTTATTATAATAATTTCATTCTAATGCTTTCATTTTGTTTATCATCGTACCACTAACTGCAAGTGTGTGTTTTTAACCGCCAGCTTAGTTGCAAAGCAACCCTCGAAAGTCAGAGACTTGTGTGAGTTAAGAAGACGGGGACCTTAGCTTTTTAAGTGTCATCCGAAGCACTACTCGGCTGGTAACCGTGGACAGTCCAAAGGATTGATATCTAGGTACCAAGAATGTTGGGTTGGCCACCTATCTCCTCCCGCCCAACGAAACTACCGAAAATTAATTCAGTGCTCGCGCCGGGGATCGAACCCGGACCGCCTGGGCAACAGCCAGCGACTCTACGCTCACGGCCACCAGCCCAATCTCTAAGTAGGTATACATTTTAGTTTACTAGTTTATGGTGTAATCGATAGGTCATTTATAGCTACTAAATATAATAAATATGATAAGTATGTTATGTTCAGATATACAGTCTAGCCTCGGCTAAAGCAGATCTGAACATATATTCAAATCACGAAGATGCTTATCAAATACTCATTGGTCCATATTTATTCCAGTTCAACAATACACTATAATGTATCTACCTTTATATTTGAATCTTCTGAGAATAAATATTATTATTATTATTATTATTCACACCTTACAGGTGCCTACCGTGGTCCTTCTCATAACCACTGTAATTTGACCTACAAAGATGATCACGCTATACCAGTTATTTTTCACAATATGTCAGGTTATGACAGCCATTTCCTCATCAAAAATTGAGTACCGAAATCAGTGGTAAGGTATCTCTACTACCGATATATAAAGAGAAATATATTTCATTTACCAAACACGTTGATGGGACGAAAGTGAGTTCCAGATTTTCAGATTCCTACAGGTTTATGCCTAGCAGTTCAGATACCTTATCATTATACTCAGATAATGATAGAAAAATAATCGAGCGGAAACTTTACGGCAACGAGGAACAATTCAGTTTGCTTTGTCGGAAGGGTGTCTGCCCTTATGATTATTTAGATTCTTGGGAAAAATTGAGGGATACTGATTAACCATCGATTGAATCTTTTTTCAATAAACTGAATGGAAAAGGAGTATCAAGAGGTGATTATGAACATGCGCATAAGGTCTGGCAAGTTTTCAACATACAAACGTTACAACAATATGTTGAATTATATCTCAAAACAGACATTTTACTACTTGCAGATATATTCGAGAACTTCAGAATAACTTGTATGTCCACATATAAACTAGATCCTCTCCACTATTACACCGCGCCTGGACTAGCCTTTGATAGTATGTTGAAAATCACTGGTATTGAATTGGGGCTTCTTTCTGATATTGACATGATAAGGTTCGTGGAAAAGGGCATCAAAGGAGGAGTATCACAGTGTTCTAATAGATATGCAAAAGCAAACAATAAATACATGAGGAATGAGTATGATCCTGGAAATCCAACATCATACCTCATGTATTTCGATGTAAACAACCTTTATGGAGCTGCAATGAGTCTCCCCCTGCCTACGGGTGGATTCGAATGGGTTGAGAATATTCATTCGGTGGACAATATAATGAATATACCAGATGATAGTGAAAATGGTTACATTTTCGAGGTGGATCTTCATTACCCTCGAGAGCTTTCCGAATACCATAAAGATTTGCCTCTTTGCTCCGAAAGTATGAAACCGCCTACTGCTAAATCAAAAATTAATAAACTACTCAAAACTTTTTACGATGAAAAAAAATTACATTATTCACTATAAAAATTTGAACCAGGCTTTGAGTTTAGGTATCAAGATAGAAAAAAATCATGAAATTTTGGCTTTCAAACAGTCCTGTTGGTTACAAAAATATATATCTTTGAACAATGAGTTACGAAAACAAAGCAAAAATGAATTTGATAAAAATTTTTATAAACTCATGGTTAATTCTGTCTTTGGTAAAACTATGGAGAACGTGAGAAAGTACAAAGATATAAAACTAGTTTCAAAATGGGGTGGTAAATACGGGGCAAAATACTATATTTTTCATCCAAATGTTCACAGTTGCAGTTTTTCCGATGATGATATGGTCATCATTGAAATGAAAAGATTGAGAGTGAAATTCAATAAACCTATCTATGTCGGATTCAGTATTTTAGATATTTCCAAAACTTTCTTATATGATTTTCACTACTCTTACATAAAACACAAATTTGGATCAGATGCAAAATTACTCTATACCGATATCGACTCTCTACTTCATCAAATTTTCATCAAATAGGTATGACACGTCTGATTATCCACCAGACAACATTTATGATATTCCTCTGAAGAACAAAAAGGTCGTGGGGATAATGAGAGATTAGAACGCTGGGGAAATAATGACTGAATTTATTGGATTACGCTCGAAATTAAACACATTCAAAATTTCACGAAATCAAAACAAACTTATATAGTCTGGTGTTATCATGAAAAGCGAAAGAAATTCGAAAGTCAGCCTTGCCAACAATCACTTTCGATGACTATCGCAATTGTCTGTTGAATAATACCTCAACCCAGATATGTCAATATATGATAAGATCTAATAAGCATGAAGTACACACAATAGAACAGTAAAAAACAGCATTGAATCCATATGATAATAAGAGAGTGATCAACTGTCTTCATACGGATACATTACCTTGGGGGTATATTTAGTTCATATAATATATATATATTGATATATATATTCAGAAACTCTCTACTTCCGTTTCGAATTATAGGATAAAAAGATAAGAAACAAAGATGAGTCGAAGAAATCTGATACAAGAGAACTACATCAGTAGCTCTGACGATAGAGAGGGGACACCCGATATCAACGGTCCTTCGAGATACAAGTGCACGAGATGTGACAACCAATTCAGAAGCTACACGACCTACAGCCAGTGCTATACGTGTCACAGAGCTCAGGACACTGACGAATATCAGGTTCAACAGCGTGAACAGATCAGAATAAAAAATTGACTGGGACATCAAGCTGTCAAACAATGAATCAAATGTTACTACTGCAACTTCTACTTCTCACTGCAATATCCACTGAAAAGATGTACACTGAATATCAACCGCAAAATGGGAGTTCATATATACACCATGAGATGCCCAATATGTCATCTCTACAGATAACCTACAACAATCTCTTGACAAAATATCCTGGAATTTAATTGTATTTTGAGCATATGGATACTAGTAGATTAAATGGTCTCAACAATAGAACAATAGCAATGTCTGGAACTGCTGTAAGAAATAGTTGTGATCAATGTGAAAATGGATGGAATAGAACAAAGGAAGAATTATTTAAGTGCAACTCTGAGATTCATAATTGTACGCAAGAATTGAAGGTTCACATAAATCATGGTAGCACTGAATTACTCAAAATCAGATCAGATTTGGCAGCATGTATGACAGTGAGTTCAGAATTCAGAATAGAGGCAGATTTATGGGCTTCAAAGTATGCAGATTTGAAATTTTCTAAAGAAAATCGTCCAACTACAAACCACAACAACAACAACAACAACAACACATTGAGAAATTCGGCATGTCTTATTCTAGAATGGAATTATTCAAGTTGTCTTCAAGAACTAAACTGGTATATAAGAAAACATTATTTTCAATTAAACAAAATTCATGACAAATATCATTTTATTTTTTTCATATTTTTATCTCCTTCTCCTAGATTGGAGAAACTCGAACAAGAACTCAACAACTGAGAGAGCCAGGCTGATTCATCAAGAGAATCTACACCCGATATGAAATATTGAAATAGATTTTTGAACATTTTTGAAAATTTTATATCCATACATCGTGAATCATCTCGAAACGAAACAATGCGAAATTCAATGAGCTCATGAAATACAGGGTGTTCAATTCAAAAAATCATAAGTTTGAGTCGTATCTTCAAAACTATTACCCGAAAGAAATATGTGTGCGCCACTGGATTCTGCATAAAACTCTCTATGGGTTGAGATTTCAATTCGACATTTTCGCTTATAAACTTCTTAGGTATAGAGGAGTCCGAAAAGTATATATTTTCAAAATCACCCTGTGTCTCATAAACGAAAACAGTTCTGCAAAATATGATAAGGCCATCTTGAGTTTCACAAAAAAATGACAAAGGACTGCCAAAACCGCAAGGTTCTATCTCCAAAGATAACTGAGATATCATGCAAAAGCATCGAGAACTGGACACACTGTACAATTGTACCGGGTACCACTAAGGAAGGACGCCGGCTGTATCTCGAAAAATATTCGCCGCACAGGTTTCGGAAAAAAATATTTATGATGAAAGTGGACAGGAAAAATCTCTGGAAATCATTTTCAAGTTTCCAGGACAGCCGCTAGACGGTATAATTGCATTGGCCAACTCAAAAAACGGGTTTTTATGAAGATTTTATATATCGAGACCTAACGAAACACTTTTTTCTTGTTCTCGAGTAGATTTTCAATCATTTCGATCAAAAAAAATTGCACTAGCTCTTTGAATAAAAGAGGGAGGAAAGGATGAATAGTACTCTGGAAAAAATCTTTTTATTACAGTTTGATGCAACGGGATCAAGCGATCTTCGTCTCATTATGGAGGGTCTTCTCAGATCTTCCTGATTAATCACGAATTAGGTTGATTTGAATCCCGTTGTGGCAGCTAGATGGCATCGTTTGAAAAATCAGCCGATTTACCAGTTCCAATCGAGAATTTCAAATAAAACCATATTTTTTTCCTGCTATGATATGAAAGTAAAGTGAACGTGAAGAAGAATGGTGGAAACCGCGAATTGATACCTCTTGAAGAACCGGAGAAATACTCGGAATAATATCAAAATTTGAACTGTTAACATGCCAAATGCCTCCTCATTTGTAATCGGCATTTTGACAAATAAGCAATCAACAGCGAAAACTTCCAATGAAACTTCAATTATATTTTGACGTTTCTTCCATTCAGAGCCAACTTGCCTTTTCTCATTCCTGAGCCTATACTCACTATTTACATCCCAATAAGTTATGTCATTACTAAGAGTTTCCTTTACTATTGTGAGATATAACAGCAGTTTGTGGAACCAATAAAATAAATGAATTATTGAAATCCTAATTTCATAGATGAAGGATATTTCTGATGACGATTATTGAAGTTAGATTCCTGTGGTGAATATTTTCATAATATTATTTCGAGTATTCCACCGGTTGTTCAAGAGGCATCAATTCGCGGTTTGCACTATCTTTCTCCATGATTGTTTCACTTTCATATCAGAGTAGAATGGATATATGGTTTCATTTGAAATTTTCGAAAAAATGGAAAATTGTCTAATGTTTTCAAACGATGCCATCTAGCGGCCACCACAGGATTTGAATCGCCTCGATTCGAGATTCAACTGGAAGAACCAAATAAACCATTTATAATGAAACCAGGATCATTGAATTCCGTTACACCAAACTGTAGTGATGGGAGTATTTTCAAAGTTCTATTCATCCTTCCTTCGCAATTTTCTCGATCGAAATGATTGAAAATCAACTCGAGAACATGAAGGAAGTGTTTTTGATATGTCTTGATATATCAAATTTCCATAAAATCCCGTTTTTCAAACTGGCCGATGCAATTACGCCCTCTAGAGGCTGTTCTGGAAACTTGAAAATAATTTCTAGAGATTTTCCTTGGCCACTTTTATGATTTATATTTTTTTCTAAACCTGTACGGCGAATAGTTTCCAAGATACAGCCGGCGTCCTTTCTTAGTGGTTCACCCGGTACATATCGATTTCTTTCGAGAGCGTTGCTCAGAATCATATCATCAACACTTTTGGCTCGAAAATTTCGTTACATACATTCATAACGTACAATTCATGATGCCCAATATTCATGAACTCTTTTATGAGAATACAAAACAGAATATTCATTTGAGGATATCGCATGGATATACACTAAAGAACATATCGTTGAGAATGTTTCATCGATAAATGGAACATAATATCCAGTTGGGAATATTCCAGAACAATCCATACCTGAATACAAACATCACAACTGAATTATTCTGATGATAATCACCTCCTAATATTTCTTATATATTTCTCTGGAATGCACCACTTCAATATTCACGTTGAAATATGAATTAGATGTTCCATATGTGTATATATCATATGGATATTCGGTATTATAATTCAGAATGGATTGATTGTTCCAGACAATCTTGAGAGAAGATAGATTCTTTTTTCTAGTGCAATTCACCATTAATATCAGCTTTCTTGATCATTATTCCGAAAATCAATATCAAATGTTGATTGTGCTTATTCTACTGAATCAGTATATCATGGGGTCGAAACAATTCATTTATCCAAATTGAATATGTGAAGACTCCTTCATCATTTCTATGAATTACTATTATATTACGTTAGTGATCGGAAGTAGTCAGAATCGCACGCTTCTCAAAGAAACTACATTTGGAGATGTAAGTAGCAGTTACCAGTTGGAGAGTCTTTGGGCGCACCTGCCATTGAGGTTGCTTGCCGTGAAATTCTTGAATATTGCTGACATGCTCTCTGTCCCAGAAATGTTTCCAATCGTGGACGCATTCCTGCGCATGTACTCCATAGCATCTCTCATTGCCAGCTTCGAATACGTTTCTAGAATCTTTTCTTCACCCTGATGGTTCTTTATTAGGTATGGCCTGATGAACCGGTTGTCAAATCTCTTGAACCTGTAAAAATAATGTATTCAATGGTAATTTTATGTAAAACGCATCGTGACATCTAGCTGCTTTTGATTCATTTCTGTTTTCTGATGGAAAATCACATTCAATAGCGCAGTGCCGCTCACTCTCACATAAAGAATCTACTAGGTCACCCAAAAAAAAGTCGGTTGCAACTGTAGACTACTATAACAAATACGAGTTGGTTTACTCATGAAAGGAACAATGTGTTTTTGGAATCGCTAACCAACATTCAAGATACTGGACCAGTAAGATTACAAAATCAAACACCGTCTCGAACGATAATCGAAACAGAAAGTTGTTGATCTGTTAACAACCATTGAGAAAACCATTGTGAGTGGTGATAAAATCAAGCAGAAATACCCAGGAAACAAGACTCATGATAGGAATAATGTCCCACATGAAACAAGTCCCAGATATCGATTTCATTATTGCAGACACAATTGGAAGAGAAATAAAATGAATAGATGCACTGGAAAAAATTGCTTCAACAGAGACAACGTTAAACTCATAATTTATTGAGGGTAGATTGCTGAAACTGGTATTGTCATCGAGTGGCAGCATAGCTGAACAGTTCTCCTGAGAAGGTATTGATGGAAATCTGTAATCCATACGTCACTCCACGTAATCCTTCGAAAGTCAACAGGACCTTGAATAAAATGATGTTGGGGTCCCACTGGGTCCATATCGACGTGACGATTTAAAAAGCTGAAGCAGAAGATATCTGGTATGCTTAGTCAGCAGATACTCTTAACGGAAATCGAGAAGGCAAATGGACGATTAATTCAAATGTATGATTCGAACAGATTGTTGTCGATATCGAATGACTATTTTCAATGTCAAATAACAGTTAACAATAATACATGTTTGTTATCATGCATGAATAGACTGAATCGTTCATATATTATGATATGGCATGATCGAAACGTTCAACCAATTAATGAATGAAGATCAATTCAAAGTAGTGAATAATATATCGAGAAGATTGAGTCAGGCATCTTCATCATAAAATATATGAATCGATAGGTCGCGATTTCATGTAACTGATTCCAGTTAGCTTGAATTCGCCGAAGTGAACTACTGTTCTCCTGTGACTTGGTATACTGATCATTATTTGCATAATAACGCATGTCGATCACTAAATCATCTGATGAAATTTTATGGAATCGCTATAGAAAGATTCAGATTAGCCAATGAGGGAAAGATGGCTTGATGTTGTCTCAAGCCAGACTTTGTTCTGAATACAGGCCTGGCCGCATCGACTGTATATTCTCCTTCAGGAGAGAGAATCATTTCTCGAATGAACACTCTCTTGTGAGGAAGTCGATTATGCCATTGTTGATTCTGTCGTATCCTTGAAATCAATCAAGATGAAGAATTCCCAGTTAGGATAACTGTATCTCTACCACGATGAAACAAGAATGATAGATTACGATTGAGACGAGCGAATCAAAGAATTCAATGCAATAAAGGCGCGTTCAAAGATTCTAGATTTTGTATAAGAGTTGAAGATGGAGTCGTTGATTGTATTGAAAGAAAACTGCCTGACAAACTCAGGCAAACTCGAGAGACTTTGAATCGGTTCTCGAAGAGATCATCCTCCTAGGGGTACAGAATTTTTCAAGGAAATTCAATACCAGCATCGAAAATAGTTATAACTATTGGAACTTTTATCTTGATTACTGAAAATTGAGAATCATGGAACGTTGATTTGAGAATGTGATGCCAAATGTCGAATGATAATTTCATCGGATTTCTCACATCTAGGATCATTCGCGTTTTAAGACTCGATGGAATCTATAATCTGTTCTCGACAACCAAGTTACCAACTGAAGAGATTGAGTGAGTTTCAGTTTTTCTAAGAACAAGAATCCCTTCGATCATCTACAAAAATTGACATTCAGCATCAAGAAATAGTTCATTCATATCCTGTGCCTACACATATGAATCTACTCACAAGATCACCCAAATATGTGTACAGTTACAAGTGGAGTATATTAGCCGTTCAATGAAGATGGAAAGAAGCATTGATACATGATACGGATAGTTTCAACCATAACAGATATTCAAATTCTTTAGTGTATTATTTCCACCGACATACATGATGCATCGAAAAGAGAATGACAGAATGCAACTATCAATCGATGAACTATCATTTTTGCCCCTGAACCCTTGCGAAAGGAATTTTCATTTATTCGGAAATGAAATTTGTGCATATTACCTGTCACGAATATGGTAGTTTCCATGTTGTCCTAATATATCTTCAATGGCAGCCATGGTATGATCCATCAGCTGAAATGAATACGGATTCATCATGAATGAAACTTTTCGAAAATTCGAATTCATAATAGGAGTAGGTGTGATTTGTCTGTTCGTGTCACTCAAATTCCACAACCTACCCTTGCAGCATCATAGGGATTAGATGTTATAATGGCTTTTCATCCGCCATCCCTGAAGTATCATTTGATGTTTAGCTGTGGGGGTTGAATTCAAAAATATATGTATTGAGAGAGCAGTACAAACATCAATAACTATGGGTTTCTATAAAATTCAGTTGGCAGTTTGTTAATCAAACTACGCGAGTATTGGTACTGATATCATGTAGACATTTTCAATGAGTAATGAGATGGAAGAAATATCGCCAATTTGATATATTTTTTTCCACATGAATTTGCGGGACTTCGATGATATATTTCGAAGTGAACACATTAAATTTTTGTCCAATATACAGTGATCCTGAATTGCTGAGACACAAAGCTACCACGTGCAATGAACGTCAAAATGAGTTCATTGGACCCAATTCAACTATATATCAAAATGTACCGTTATTTGCGAGAAGAGTTCAAAGTTCACGAAAGGAAACACATTCCTGTTCGCTGTTTAGAAATTGGTGGAACAACACAATTGAACAAGAGAAATTGTAGATGAAGTGAAGCAACCCTTACACCCTGATATTTTTTTCAGAACATTCTCGAAGTTGGTAATACACATATCATTGTTTTTATCAAATAGACAGATAAATTACCCCCAATTTGTTACTTTTGTGAGAATTTCATGCCCTCAAAATTTCCGGAGGTAAAGAGAAGTTTGATTTTATAATGTTACGCAGAACAAGTTTGTAAATATTGTGATACAGAATTTAGTTGACATTGTAATTAAGAGCAGAACGTTTTCATAATGAATTCTCAATATCTTGGTCACCTTCATCAATGCAAAGGTCAATTCGACTTGGAAATTCGAAATAAACTTGTATTTTTCAAGTTATTGTTTTTTATCATCTGAAGCGCACGACAGGAAATTGCTATGATATTCGTGAAACATTGCGCGTGCTCGAGGAGGACAGAAAGAAAAGGTAGGTGTTGGAATTTCCCTGAACTTTCGGAGGTCCCTGACAATACTTTCATAAGCAAAGTATTCGAGAGCTTCTCCCTTCTATAGACGAACGAGTAATAGTGTAGTGTTGTTCGACACTTTTTGAGGTTAACGACGTAGATATGTGCTAACTGGGCCAGTCGAGTTTGTCTGACTGGAATTGCTGGTGATGGAATTATAGCAGAGATTACTGATGAATATTTTATGTGGAATGATACATATCAATGGGAAAGTGAGAGGTCGCCGACTTTTTCACAGTGTTCTAATGGGTTCAATGAGTTGGTGAGAGTGAAATCACCCACCAGGCGAATGGCTCCTCTATAAATGGAATCTAAGAGCATCAGCGTATATTTGGGTGCTAAAAACCCCATTCATGAGAATAGTATTAAAAAACTGGTTGGATCTGTCGTGCTTTGTAGATCATGACAAGATGGGGTGTGAAGTGGATTTTCGCACGGAACAAGAAACCAAGATTTTCTGAAACAGCCTTTGCGATGGATTGATCATGATTTGATGATGATGATATCGGTGATGAACCTGAATCTTATCTCAGGGTAAAACGGTTCGTTTCGATATATAAATAAATTGGGTCCAATCAACTCATTTCGATCTCTATAACACGTGAAAGCGTAAGTCCCAGCAATTCTACACACCCTGTATATCTATTCGTGACTTCAATTTTGCATTAACATATTTTGAATAGTGAAGGAGCGTAGAGCAGACATGTGATATTCTCATCTCATTTTCGTGTTATAACTTGAACTATCATAAGATGACATGGATGTCGTATCTTGGACAAATTGACTAAAAATAATGAAAGCTGGTTTGAATTTTCGGAATTATGAAAATCTCTGATCTCTCTTGATTACTCCAGATGAACTTTCGTTTTCAATGCGTAGTGATTTTTTCACAAGATGATTGAAGTACAGTCAAACAGTCATATTTTCACTACGAAATCGAATCATTTCACAGTAAAACATTGTTTTCTGAATAATACAGATTTTTGGTCATGAAATTGAGTAGAATATATTCTTGAAAAAATAGTATCTTATTGCTATGATTTCCAATGAGAACAAAATCTGTCAGTATTGAAGATACATTCATAGAGAGTTCATTATAGCGAAGCCATACTACGAGTATGAACTCTGTTTTGCAGATACATTCTGAATCAGTTAATTATCGAAATTTATAATTAAAATACCGTGGTATTCATGAGTTTGAAATGCGTATTGTAAATACATGCATTCATAATGAGTTCATTATAGCAATATTCTATATGAACTTTGATTTGCAGATAGATTTATAATCAGTTCCTGATCAGAAACCTTCATTGGAATACAGTGGAATTCATGAGTCAAAAATGTGTATTCCAGATACTTTCATAATCAGTTCCTTATGGAAATCACATATGAACTTCATGAGTTTGAACTGTATTCTGCAGATACATTCATAATCAGTTCCTGATCAGAGTTTCTTATACTATAGGGGCATTTCTGAGTTTGAAATGTGTCCTGCATGGTACAATCATAATCAGTTTCTGATAGCAATTTTTCACGAATTCTATAGGTATATCTGGGTTTTGCAGATACACTCATCTTCAGTTCCTAATTGGAATTCCCCATTGAAACCCCTCAGCATTCATCAGTTCAAAATGTATTTGACAGGTACATTCATGATGAGTTTTAATTGACAATTATCCATGTACTCAATGAGTAATATATGTGTTCCCCAGATACATTAATAGTCAATTCCTGATAGCAATTCGTTTCGAAGTACATGAGTATAAACTCTGGTCTGCTGATACATATTTAATCAGTTCCTGATTGGAATTACTCATTGAAATACCGTGGCACTCATGAGTTCGAAGATCCATTCATAATGAGTTCGTAATAGCAATTTCATGAGAAAATGTGAGTATAAACTGTCTCGCAGATACATTCACAATCAGTTCCTAATTATAATTATTTCTTATTAAAATACCGTAATTTATGAGTTTGAGATGTGTTTTGCAGATACATTCATAATGAGTTCCTCAAAGCAATTCCGTATGAACTCTATTAGTATAAACTCTGTCTTGCAGAAACCTCCATAATCAATTCCTAATCGGAATTTGTTATTGAAACAAAGTGGGATTTATGAGATCGAAATGTATCCTGCGGGTACATTCATAATCAAAATGTACCTAATATAGCAATTCTTCAGGAACACTAAAAGTATAACTTTGTTTTGTAGATACACTCATCATCAGTTCCTAATCGGAATTCCTCATTAAATCACCGTGGCATTCACCAGTTTGAAATGTGTCTTACAGGTACATTCATAATGAGTTCCTATTGCCAGTTCTTCACGTAATCTATGAGTATGCCGATAGCAATTTCTTTCGGAGTGTATGACTATAAACTCTGTTTTGCAGATACATCGATTATAATCAGTCCCTGATCAGAATTTCGTACTGATATACTGTGACACTTATGAGTTCAAAGTGTGTATTGAAGAGACATTCATAGAGAGTTCATTATAGCAAAGCCAACTCTGTTTTGCAGATATATTCAAATCAGTTACTAATGGAAATTCAATACTAAAATACCGTGGTATTCATGAGTTGAAAATGTTTATTGTGAATACATGCATTCATGATGAGTTTCTGATAGCAATTTTTCACGAATACTATAGGTATATCTGGGTTTTACAGATACACTTATCATACGTTCCTAATTGGAATTCCTTATTGAAACACCGTAGCATTCATCAGTTTCAATTGACAATTCTCCAGATACATTCATAGTCAATTCCTGATAGCAATTCGTTTCGAAGTACATAAGTATAAACTCTGGTCTGCTAATACATATATGATCAGTTCCTGATTGGAATATCCCATTGAGATACCGTGGCATTCATGAGTTCAAAGATTCATTCATAATGAGTTCGTGATAGCAATGCCATGAGAAAATTTGAGTTTAAACTGTCTTGCAGATACATTCATAATCAGTTCCTAATTATTATTCCCAGCAAACACAATTATGTAAAATTGACATAAGTGTTACATAACTGACAATACGTGTTATGTAACTATGTTATGTAAGACTTACATCACTGTTATGGCGAAATGTCCGCCACAAATACTACATGATTATTACGTAACAATTATGTCACCATTTTATATATATTTTATATAATTTCATTGCTATAAATAAGATGTTACGTATATAACAAACCGACATAAATATTACATAACATTCTCTAGATGTTATGTAAAATTTACATCCCTATTATGTAAAAGTGTCAGCTACAGATATGACTCCATTTTAATATAATATTGATGAAACTACTTGACTAATATCCGAAATGAATATCGGAATTTCACGAATAACCTCTCCACTTCACTAACTCACTTCACAGGCATATGCACATATTGATAACAGTACAATCATCTCAGAAGGTGATCCAAACTCTACACTCCATAATATCTATACTGATATTACTGATGATGATATATGGTTATAGAAATGTGCATGAGAGTTGGAAGTGGGCTAGTGTGAAAAAGAAGTTATTTGTCAATTTTTGATTGTGTGGGAAAATGTAACAGAGACAGATTAGTCATAAAATGCTTGATGGTTTATTATCTCCTATATCATTCAGTATTCACTTCAATTCTCCTCATGTACAAAAAACTCTGCTGGAAAATTTTCAAGACTTTCTGTTCCAAATATTATGCATTATAGTACACAGTATAATTGATCAGTTGCAAACTTTAAAACAAAAAAATTGTCAAAAAATTATAGACTGAATAATGTTCAAATCGAATAAAATGGAATGTCCTGAATAGAAGATGATAAAACAACATCAACTATCAAATAAAAAAAATGACCTTTCTTTTTCTTTGAAAATAGTGAGACCATTTATGTATACTTATATAAAGTTCAAAAAATCAAAATTGTGAGTACCTAATCAAATTATATCTTTCTTCTTGATCTCCCAATTCAACCCTCCATTTAACCTCTGCTGACTAAATAAGAACCACCTTCCTGCTGGTTTATCTATCAGAGTAAGATATCGAAGGGTGTGTGATAATGATGGAGTCTGAAAAAATATTGCTTTGTTTTTCATTTTTCAAATTGAAATCTAAAATATATATTACCAGATAATGATATTTCGATTGATTTCAAATCTCTGACTTCAATGTTTCCCCTCTGCCCTTACCAGGAACATTGTGTGGCCCCTATATAGATAGTCTCTCCCATCTTTACCACCTTGAGTTTTGAAAAGATGTACCTACCTGGAAAAGTATACATTTCAGGATTCATCTTATTGGGGTTCTTCATGAACTTATTTATGAAACAAAAAATAATAATCACTGACAAAATGATTAAATTTCCATAACCAATAATAATAACTTTAATCCAGAATGTGAGGCACTTTGGGGTTTTCGCTGGGGTTTTCATCAGCCATCATCATAATCAATCACTGGCTTTTGTTCAATTTCATATGAGAATTGAAGTTTGACCAGATTATACCTCGGATTCTATCAATACCTACCAGATTCATCATTTATTCTAGGCATATTTAAGAGGTCCAGGATAGATATGTAACTATTTCATTCTCCTTGTTTCCACAGAGGTTAGGAAAATCTCAAGGCATGTTTTATTCTCACTCACCTCCACTTATTCTTATCAACACTTTAAGTTTAGTTTAATTCATCAAACACAGCAGGTAGAAACAAGAAAAACACTCGAAATAGTTATATTATAAAATACCGAAAATGCCTTCAGTGTAGTTTGTTTATGGTCTCGTATAACTCATAACCTCAAAGTAGTCGACCAATAGGAATTGGGCTTGTGGGATGGGGGACCACTACAGCGCAGAAAATTGGTGGAAACAAGAAAACCACTCGGAATAGTAAGAAAATATTGAAAATGCTTTCAGTCTCCAAGTCTTCACTCATTACTTATAACCTCAGAGTGGTCACGGAGGAACGCTACAGTGCGAGAGCGAAAATTAATAATCATCGCGGTGGGGGAACATTACAGCGCGAGACCACGGGTACTGATCATCCCAACGAATATCCTTAATTGACGCAGAATCAAGTCTGCAGAGAATTTACGGCCGAGAGTCCTAGTAAAGTCATGTAGCTATCATATAAGCTTTTATATTGATATCAAATTGTCACATATCATTTACATCATAGTTACGTTACATTTTTATATAATTATGGGGTTCACATATTTCAGAATTGTTACGGAATATTTACGTGAATATTTTATATAAATAGAAGGTTCACATATTTCACAAGTATTATGAAATATTTACGTAAATATTCTATATAAAAAAGTTCCGTTGATTTTATATAACAGTGATGTAAATATAACAGATGTGTTTGCTGGGTTATTTCTTATTAAAATACCGTGACATTTATGAGTTTAATATGTTTTTTGCAGATACATTCATGATGAGTTCCTTATAGCAATTCCGTATGAACTCTATTAGTATGCAGAAACATCCATAATCAATTTCTAATCGGAATTCGTTATCGAAATAAAGTGGAATTTATGAGTTTGGAATGTATCCTGCGGGTACATTCATAATCAATAGGTACCTAATATAGCAATTATTCAGGAACACTCAGAGTATAACTTTGTGTGACATTTGATATATGTCACCTCGTCACAGGACATGACGTGAGCGAGGCTTGTCATCTGTGCGCCAGTCGGCGTAAACATGTATATTGTATAAATTGTATTCATGCATTAACTATGCGAAAGAACCAGAAGTATGGTTAATACATACACACAGTTAAAGTGAGTCTATTATTGTGCCCTTTTACCAGATATATCATACTGGCGACGAGGAGTACGACGGAATAAGCGTGGGTGGAATCTGGAGGAGAAAAATCGTCTCGATCAACTGACACGACAACAGGCAGCCAGCCATCAATCAAGGAAAATAGCGGCAAGCGTGCCAAAATTCTACGAGTTCAACTCAAACAGCGATGACTGTGAAATCTATTCTGGAAGGTTTAAACAACATTTCGCAGCGAATCAAATTGTTGACGAAAAAATCAAAACGGCAGTATTATCGAGCAGTGTGGGGCCTGAAAAGTATAAGCTTCTGAGGGATCTCACATTTCTAGAGTTGCCGAAAAATAAAACATGTGCTGTTTTGTGTAAACTTTTGAACAGACAATACTCGATCCAAGTGAGCGTGTGGAGAGAAAGAAAGGAGTTCTATCTCCTGACTCAGGCTGATATGTCGGTGAATGATTTTTACGCAAAACTGAGGAGTGTTGTGATTTATTGCAAGTTTGGTAATGACCTATCAAAAGTGTTGAGAGACAGATTTGTAACCGGATTGACTGACAAACAAAATTTTCGAAAGATTATGCGAGGAAATAAGCCACGAAAAAACACTTGGAGACATAATTTCTCTGGCTCAATAGCATGAAAATGTGCAACAGCATCACCTCAGGTATGTTTCGGACCCCAGGAGGACACTACAAAATCAAAATGGCTTCAACAGACGCCAAAATTATCATGAGAAGGACCCAGAACGAGGCTATCAAGATGACAAAAATCATGGTTGGAAAGGGAAGATGTCTTCTGTCAGTTCTGTCAAGAGGAGTGACAGTCAGAATGACGTGTGGCAAGGAAAGTATAATAGACATGTGACAAATGACAAATATGACAAGCAAGGTAATAATTGTAATAATTATAGGAGCAACATGTCAAACTGTCCTTGTAAACCTTGAAGTATCAGGTGCCAATAATGTAATCGCAGATTATCTGAGCAGGAATCCAATAACTACAAAGGATGTAACAGAAGATCAAAGAATACACATAAATTTTGCTGAAACTCAGAAGGAGTGGCCAATTGATAATGAGACTTTGAGGAAGGCAACAAATGAGGATGAGGAACTAGTTCAGGTAAAAACTTTCATTGAAAATGAGGAATGGCCTAAAGAATTATCCATTGTAAATGACATTATATTGTGGGGACATAGAGTAGTAATACTCAAATCATTAAGAAAAGAAAACTTGGAATTGATAAATGCAAATCATTTCGGAATTTGTAAAATGAAAGCACTTGCTAGATCAATTCTTTATTGGCCTTATCTCGATAATGAGATAAAAAATATGGCAAAATCATGCACAGCATGTTTGATGAACAAGCAGGATCCGCCTGGGAGTGATCTAACTCCATGGCCACTGTCCTCCAAACCATTTGAAAGAGTCCACATAGATTTCCTTTCATTGAAGGAAGAAAAATACTTGATATTGATTGATTCATACACCAAATGGGTAGAAATTTTTTACATGAAACAGACATCTGCATATGGAACAGAGGACAAACTAAGAGGTGTTTGCTAGATTTGGAATTCTCCAACTAATAGTATGCGACAATGGTCCTGAACTTACATCAAAGGGTCCACAGTTATTTTTCAAGAAAAATTAGGTGAAACATGTATTTTCTTCACCATACAACCCAAGAAGCAATGGGGCTGCAGAGAATGCAGTGGAGACTTCCAAAGAAAAAATGGAAACAGCTTTAGATGATCCAAGAAACAACAGCATTTCAGTAGAAACCCTAATTTCAAGATTTTTGTTCACCTACAGGTCAATGCCTCACACAACTACAGGTAAATCACCTTTTTCTATGTTATTTGGCCGTGAAGCCAGAACACTTATATCCCAATGTGAAGAAAGGGAGGAAGTAGTCACACATGTGAGTACAGTCCAGAAAAAAAAGGCGAACCATCAAATAAAATACTTTGGAGGGCAAAGAAGGGAGTTTGTTGTGGGGAAGAATTTCCTAGTGAGTGATTACAGAGAGAATTGGGAAACGTGGATTCCAGCCATAATTAACAAACGGACAGGCAGAAATACATATTCGAGCAAATTGTCTAGTGGGCAACTGTGAAAAAGACATACAAACCAAATACAACATATAAGTATGAATGAATCTCAGAATGAAGTAGTAGAGCAGGGTGAGCTTTGTTCGAAACAGGAAGGTTTCAGAATCGCAAATGAAGTAAACAATGATTATTTTATGATACTGCCCTCAATCAGTACTGAATTTCGGCGTTCCTCTCCGGAAAGCATAGGTATTGTGGAAAACAACGAATCGATCAGGAAAGGTAATGTCAATGTTGAATTTTCTGAAAGTAACCATCAGTCAGTTGATTCAAGGGATTCAATAAGTGAAAATCAAAATAGTGACTGTAGTCAGGACTCCTCTGATTCTTGTGAAAATGATTGAGGTATCTATTAAGCATAGATATATGATTATTACTATTGTCAGATATATGGAAATGATACAAAACCAGGAAATAATACTCATTGTATGAAATTGTTGTATGTTAATGTTTTACTTTGTTCAACTCTGGAATGATTCACACTATATGTAAAATGATGGTATTTGAATGTTTCATCTTGTAACTTTGAAATGATGTATACTATGAATGTTTAATGTTGGTAATCAATTGTTTCACACTGTATTTGGAATGTTGAATGATTTTGTAAATCCTTATGTGAAATGGAAAATATCCAACAGATTAAAAGTGGAATCCTCCCACATTCTATTTCGTTGTGGGAGAGTGTGATATTTGATATATGTCATCTTGTCACAGGACATGACGTGAGCGATGCTTGCCATCTGTGCGCCAGTTGGCAATGAGTACCCAAAGAATAAACATGTATATTGTATAAATTGTAATCATGCATCAACTATGCGAGAGAACCAGAAGTCTGTTTGATAAATACACACAGTTAAAGTGAGTCTATTAGTGTGCCCTCCTACCAGATATAATACACTTTGTTCTGTAGATACACTTACCATCAGATCCCCATTGAAATTCCTCATTCCATCACCGTGGCATTTATCAGTTTGAAATGTGTTTTATAGGTACATTCATAATGAGTTTCTCTTGCCAGTTCTTCACGTAATCTATGAGTATGATCTGTGATCCACAGATACATTTATAATCAGTTCCTAATAGCAATTCCTTTCGAAGTCATCAGAACGTATCGACACAGACCGTCGAATAGTAGGAATTTATTTGACTAGAATAGTAAGAAATCAGAATAGCAAATCATCAGAACCATATTTCAGCGACTGCAATATGTACAACCCGTAATTTGTCGAACCGTACTTTGACAGACTGCATTATGTCAGAATGCATAAATCACAATAGTATATCGAAAGACTGCCATATATTCAGAAGTGTACTTTGCCAAACCAGTAAATAAAATACTCTTCATGTCGTCAGAATCATAAAAATATATAATCGTAAAGTCATAGAACCGTAAAAGCACAGACTGTAATTCAGCGACCCGTACTCTGTAGACCACCATTTCATCAGAATGAACATTCCCGACCAGCAAACTGGCAGAATTGTGATGTACAGAATCTGAAAATGGCAGAATGCGAAAAGTTCATACCCGTAAAAAGACAGACTGTCGATTTTTGATACCCGTAAAATGAAAGATCCGTACAATGACAGACTCGTAAAAGCACAGACTGCCAATACTCTAGATCCGTAAAATGCAAGAACCGTACATCGACAGACTCATAATCCATCGGACTACCGGAATTTCCGATCCATAATTCATCAAAACCGTTAAACGACAGACCCGTAAAACAGCAGAATCGTAAAATGACAGACTCGTACAATGGCAGAATCGTGCAGCTACCAAACCCGTAAATTTTCAGAATTTTTTGGATTAAGACCCGTGAAATAGCAGAACCGTGAAATGGCAGAACCGTACATTGACAGACCCGTAAAACATCAGAACCGTACATCGACAGACCGTCAATATACCAGAATGTGTGAGACGCGTGGAGACTCGGAACAAGCGGTAGCGCATTGTTGCCAAGTTGAATCGATAGAAATTCCTTGCTATACCTACTCAAATCTGATTCAAACTGTTTTATGAAGAATTCTAGAGGGCTGAGAAAGGTTCGTACATTGTAGTATTTGTGTTTGATAATCTGTTTGATCCGAATGAGGAAGATATTGACATGATAATTTGATTGTATCAAGATAAAGAAGTATATATCATTCTTTTTGTTGAAAAATTATATAACAAAACATCGGACATGTGAATATAACGATGTTTTCTATGTATAATAGGTGAATCTATTCTCGGAGATTCTATAAGGCAGAAATGGAATCATTGTATGTTCATTTCTGAACATATAAATATTGGAGAAAAACATCAAACTTTCAAACTTTTCTATAGTTCAATGGTCTGAGATTCGGATCAGAGTGTATACCTTTCAATTTGATTCTCCAATTAAATAGTAGATAATATAAATAAAGAACTTGTAGCATTTGTATATCGCTATTTCGTTTCGGGAAACCCACTCCCCAAGAGTTTTCGAATCTAGTGATTTCTTATTGTCAATTGTGCTTAAATCCCTCACATGACTTCAGTTATAGATTATATATAGGGTGTCCCAAAATTGCTCTACTTGAAGTAGAGGTCAAAATAAGTTGATTGGACCCAATTCGTTTATATACCAAAATGTTCCGTTCGTCAATGGGGTACTTTGTATGTGATCAATGAGGTACTTTGTATGTGATCAATTTCATTTGCGTTTCGGATATCATAATGACTTCCCTCCTCGCTTCTACAAAATAATAATATGAGCATAATTTCAATATACAGTGTGGTCATTTAAGTGTGCAACATATGGGAATCTTCTTAATGAATTGCACAACCAAAATACAGATAGTGCCAAGAGTTGGTGCATGTTCGATCATCATTTCAGGGTACAGGGTAGCTAAAAAGATAAGATATAGAAAAAATACCTTTCAATTGACATTTATTTTCAAAATGGCGGATCATGCAGGAACCTTTTTGTCTGCAATCATCATGGACACATTGTGACGTCATCCGTCGAATTTTTGGCGAGCATCCTTATAAAATAAGAAATTTACGAATCACTTGGATTAGTTATTGATGGAACATATTTTTCAACGCTTGAAGCGCACGAAAGGAAATCCCTATGATAATTTGTTTTTATTAAGTCATCATTTCAAACAATTTTCTTAGTCTTAAATTCCCCCAAGAATGTGAAATAGGAATGGTACTTTATTCAAGGAAAGTTCAGTATAAAGAGGTCATTATGTTGTTTTTATAGGAATATTGAGGAATGTTAAATGAAAAAGTTGTTTGAAACCACCCAAACTTTCATTTTGTGTAGTTGTTTTATATACAGTGTCATTCGTTTTTTCGGGTAGGCTAATAGCTTTGTGTTTTTTTTCAATGGAACACCCTGAATTCAGCTTTCCATGAAGATTTTGAGAATTCAATAGTTGATAGGATGTTCCATTCGAGAAATTGTCTATTATAAATGTGGAAATTGAGAATGAAAATCAACCTGTTTCAGGATATCCCTTGGAATTATTGAGTTTGGCTCGAAATTCTTTTTTATTTGATTTGACATGTGATGTGGAACTTTTCAAACTTTTGAAACTTCTCACTTTTCGTATAACCTGTGGTGTAAAGTGAAATATAACATAACTGGTTTAACTGGTGATGAAATATTATTCACTACAGCACCAGTTACGTTATTGAATATGTGGTTGGACGAAAAGAATAATGTATTTCAAGCTGCTTTCTCAATATCAGTTGGAAAAACTGAACTTGAATCAGCCATTTTCCACTGATGGAAGTATAGAACGAGTCTTTTTCGTGAATTTGGTCACTAATTTGCGACCATATTATTTTATGACGGATACTTCGAAGTGACGGGCGAAGTCGACTTGCCTATATTCAATTTTTGTACATAATTGGTAGAATTCATGTAGAAATGATGGTCATTATATTATCTGTTCGAGCAAAAATTTCTAGCAAAATTAGAAAAAAAATTACACGTAATACGTTCGTTCGTCTCGCATAATCCCCCAAAATGACGCGTTTCCTAACTGGTTACGTATAAAGCACTGTGTATACATTTCACACTTTGTCGACCATCTCCATATCAACGAAGTTCCTCAGTGATGAAAAATGCGATAATGACTAATTGAAATTTTATCTCATAGAGAATGTCACCAGAAACTAGTGGCGCACTCATTTTTTTTTTTTTCGGGGTAAGTATATGATTTTGGAGATAAGTACGCATCAAACTTATGATTTTTTCAGTAGAACACCCTGTATTTCATCCGCTCATCAAATTCCTTGTTTTCTTTCCTTTCGAATTATGTATAATGTTATGAATATAAAATTTTCAAAGATGCTCCAAAATCAATGAAGCATGGACTTTCATAGTGATATAGATTTTTTAAATAAAAAAGTTCCACTTGAACTTTTGATTTTACCATGAAGAGAAAAAAACAATTCCAACACTGAATAACTAACACAAAACAAAACGTAGGTACCTAATAGCAACACATAAATAGTAATAAGAAGTATACATAATGTTGAATAAGCAGCTGTTTCAATAGTTACTAAAACAATTGAATTTCGAAATCATTCAGTAACTTATTCATTGAATTATTCGAATTGATGTCCCTTTTCTCTATCACACAACTGACACAATTCCTCATCAGGTACAAGTACACTGGTATGCAGAAATCATGTCGCAGTTGGACGGTGTAACCGCTTTTATTGTAGCGGTGATTTAGAGCGCTTACATCGTCCAACTGCGACATGTTTTCTGAATACGAGTGTACGTTTTAATACACTAGGAAGCACAACAATCTTGAAGAAATTCGTGCAAAATGGTGTAACAACAGAGGCAGTTTTTAAGAATTACAAAGATATCCTTCAATGATTTTTGATGCGTCTTCAGGTTAGGTGTGTCAATAATTTGGCAATTTTTAAATAACTAATTTTTTTTTAACCATTTAAATTAGAAAATTTTAGGCAATTGTGGCAATTGTGTGGAAAACTGGGCAACAATCAAGTTACTGTATAATTTCGAAATTCAACTGTTCCGGTGAATATTCAATCAGGTGCCTCTTTTAAATCATGAATTTATTCTTATTACTATTTATTTGTTGCTATTAGGTACACCTAGGTACGTTTTGTGTTCTGTTAGGTAATTAGTGTCAGTATATCGTTTCTGTCCTCATCAAAAAAATATCAGGAGTAATATTCCTCCAATTAGACTTTTTCATATAAAAAATCAATAGTCCACTATTGAAATACAATGTTTGAGTGATTTTTGAGCATCTTTGAATTTATCTATACAATATATATCATTTTGAAGGAGAAAAGAGGAATTTAATGAGCTAATAAATTTAAAAAATCATAAGTTTGAGTTGAATCTCCAAAACCATACTGCGAAAAAAGAATTGAGTACGACATTGGAATCTGAATGATATTCTTCATGACAAAAGATTTGAAAAACTCTGTAAATATAGAGGGTGTCCAAAATGTGAAATAAGTCATAGGCAAAATCTGAGTTTCACAAAAAAGTGGCACAGAACCGCAAAAACCGCAAGGTTCCATGTTCCACAACAACAGAGATACCTCAGATGTCTGAACCAAAATGGAATACACTGTACAGGGTGATTCAAACTCCCCGCCCTTGGCTCATAACAAGGAAAGGAAAACTGCAGATGGAAATCTCTCAGAGGGGATATATTTATCCTTATTTGAAAATATCTCAGCTCCTTTCAAAATGGCGGAAATGACGTCTGCAAAATTATTTTTTCCACAGAGTCACAATTTTTCCTCATATTCTGAAAAAACATATATTTTTTTAAACATCTTCCATCGTGAATCTTTCTTTCTTTCTTCATTAAGTTGATAGCTATGATGTGATATATGATTGGCATTTTCAAATAAACTTCAACTGACCCCGCTGTGATAAAAATCAAGTCGACCGGAAAACAAATAGTAAGTAATTTC